GAAACTATATCCCAAGTCTGATTTTCCTCCAAGGCATACATTTCTTCTCTCATAGCTTTATTCCATACATTTGATTTTATGGCTTCCTAGTATGACTTAGACTTAATCTTATTTATTATAATCAAGGCATAATATTGATCCTCTTTGTTCAAAGCATTGACATGCAAGCATATAGAATACCTGGTGCAGGTTTGACCATTGCAAAATGCTCCAAACTTCAATGAGGGATTCAACTAATAGTCACTGTATTTGCTTGGCAGGTTAATATGTCTCGAAGTCTTTTTGTTCACCAGTGTATCTGGATCATCTAGATCAATATCAGCTTGGGAATAAAGTTCATGCTCATCAGAATCAAAATATGTGTAATGATCATTGATCACTACATCTTCATGCTCAGTATTCCCCCCTTCATCTAGAGATGAATTAGACTGAGGAGGAGGTGTGATAGAAGTAGGAGGAGTTGGAACAAGAGAAAATGGTATTTGAAGAGAAGGAGTTGTAGCAGGAGGAGGAATAGAGGGACTGGAACAGGTTGGATGAGAAATAGAAGAAGAGGGATCTTGATTTTTGAAAGAAAGGATAGTCTCTTAGAAGGAAAGAGTTCTTGAGAAAAAGACTCTCTTGTCATGAATATCCAGAACTTTATAACCTTTGAGACCTGAAGGAATACCTAGAAACACACACTGTCTAGCTCTTTGAGAAAATTTTATTCTGACATGGAATAGAGTGTTGGCATAACAAAGGCAACCAAACACTTTTAAGTGCCCCAGAAACGACACTTGCTTATATAAGACTTCATAGTGAGTCTTATTGTGTAGAATGGCCGTAGGCATGCGATTTATCAAGTGGACAACATGCAAGGTGAAGTCACTCCAATAAGTGAGAGGCAACCCTGATTGAAACTTCAAACATCTAGCTACGTACATTTAGAATGTGTTGATGTTTCCTCTTCACTCTGCCATTCTGCTAAGGAATCTCAAACACAGGAAACTTGATGTTCAATGCCTTCAGTTGTGAAAAACTTCCAAATTTCTTGCCATGATATTTTCTTATTATCTTAACTTATGTATGATATTGATTATTAACAAGGCTACAGTAACAGTGAATCAATCCTCTTACTTCACTTTTATGCCTCATCAAATACACCCACACACATCGAGAGTAATCATCCACAATTGTAAGGAAATATGAAAACCATCATAAAAAACTCTAGAAAAGGGTCACAAATATCCACATGCACTAAATGAAAAGCCTCAGGTGCAATACTGGTGCTAACAGGGAAAGGAAGTTTACGTTGTTTGGACAAATGACATACATCACAATGAGTGGTCTTAGTTTTGGTAAATGAGGTAATCACATTACTAAGCAAAAACGATCTATCATGGCTATGTCCCCTAGTCTCCAGTGCCATAGGTTCAGGTCTTGGGGAGTGAAGTTGAAAGTGGTGGCTGCTTGGTGTTGATGAATTTGTGGGGAAGGCTTGTTTGGTCTTGAAGGAATGGCAAGTTAGTAGAGGCCTCTAGATGAGATCAAAGGAAAATTGTGGCACTAGGAGAACATCATGCAAGGTTAAACCACAATCCAACTGTACTATCCCAATACATGTGGCTGTGACTTTTGTGCTATTTAGAAGATAAAAAAAAGCATCATGAACTGGCTTATAGCTAGAGAAGAGATTAAGACTACATGATATGTGATCAGATCCTCCTGTGTCTATAATCCATAAGGTAAGATCATGTGTTTTGTAGTTTTGGGAAGAAGACATGACATGTGTACTTCAAAAGTTGGGAAAGGAAGAAGGAAATTGGGTGGCTGAATAGGCTTGATGGTTAATAGATGGGGATGTAGGTGGTGAGGGATGTGTACTAGCACCAGCTTTCAATAGATACCTGAGGCAATTCATTTCTTCAGGTGTGAATGCAAGTAGAGCTGGAGGCTTACCTTCATTGGTCACACTGCCCTCTGATGCACTCTCATTCCCACTTCCTTGTGAAATAGAACCTCCATACCTTGGTGTGCTAGTGTTCGAACTGGAACTAAAAGTGGATCCTCCATTACCATTACCATCTCTTTGCATCTCTTGTTTCCTCTTAAGTTTCCAACAATCCTCTATATTATGATTGTTCATTTTGCAAAAACCACAAAACTTATTCCCCCTTGCTTCAGTATTCTCCCTTGAGTTGTTACACTGAGTCTTAATAACTTCATACTCAGGATTGAGCCCTCTCAGGAAACGAATCAAGTAATTTGTCTCCTGCTTTTACACAAAGGCAGCTACAGCTACATAGGGCATGGGATTTCCAGGAGCACAAGTACATGGAGTAATAGGGTAGAACTCTACATACTCGTCCCAAAGCCCCTTGATAGTTGTATAGTATTTATTGATAGATCTGGAACCCTATTTATATGCTTGAATTTCATCTTCAAGGTTTGTAATTCTTAAGGCATTGGGTTGGCCAAAGCGCCTCTTCAATTCATCCCACAATGTCTTAGAATTTGTGTGATTTAACACTGTTCGCCATCCTTTGTCATCGAGTTCCAAAGCTAATAAAGAACCATTGTATTACAAGCATCCCACAGACTAAACAGATTTGCATCTCTAGAAGGAACCAGGATAGACCCATCTCTGAATCCTACTTTATTATTCATTTTAAGTTCTACTTGTACATATCTACTCCATATCAGATAATTTGCCCCATCAAAAGGCTCAACAACAAGAGATTGAGACATGTTTTCATTTGGGTTAAGGTAATAAGGATTACCGAAAACAACAGTCTCAGATTGCAGCTGATTCTGCTTTTTTCCTACTCTTCTAACAATCTTCATCAAGGCATCTTGGTTCTATCAGCAACAAGCTTGACGGAAGTGGCCGCTGGTCTCGTCTGGTGCATTGTTTCGTTTGGTTCTTCATGGTGGAGCCCGTGTCTCTTATTTCAACTTCTTGGGTTTTATTTTGACTTCTTCAATAAGATGTGTGTTCGTCTGGTTCGTCTAGTCTGTTCACCATCTTATTGCCTTGCTCATATATACCTTTAGATCGCCTTCTCGCGCGATTGGGAAAGTGGGATTGGGATATGGAGGAGAGGGTGGGAACGGATTCTGCTTCAGAGAGAGCTTATTGGGCTAAGCATTGGTACTAAGAGGAGATTTTTTCAAAGATGGATCTAGCGCCAGTGAAGGAATTGGAAATGTTAGATGATGTGGTGTTTGGATTGGAGGGCAGATTGGGTCTCTCCTCTGCGACGATCCCTCTGCATGTAACGAACTGCTCTCTCTCAACGATCCATCCCCTCCTGCTCTCTTCACAATGGTCTCTACTGCTGTGGCCTCTATTTTTATTTTTATGAAATGCAATCCTCCACTGGAAGCATGGAACGGAGGGGATTCGACCAGATAAGAAAGATATGATTTCATAGGATGGCAAGATTCATTCACCTACAACTGAGCTCGTCCAAGTGAAATGCAATAAAAAACCGAGAAACCAGCTCGCGAGGGTAGGGCTTGACACTGGTGGCTGGGGATTAGGATCTCACTGGAGTTAAGATGAACGAGGTGAAATAAATGGGTGGGTTGAGCTGGTGGTGTCTACATATGAAAGCATGGCCAATTAATAATTATTTTATTTTATAACTTTTTTTTTTAAATCCAAGGAGACAAGTCATATGAAAAATTGTAATGACCCTTTTAACAATGTGGTGATGATGTCGTTAAATTTATTAAGAGAATGACTATTTTAGTATAAAGGATAATGTATATTTTTTATCCAAATCTTTTTCAGATTCTTTTATATTATCAAAACCTATCTAAATACTAAAAATTAGTCAAGTGTTAACTTCCAGTTGGTAATTTTGTTAGTAATATTGACTTAGCAACATGATACTGATTTGTAAGAGACTCATGAAGGTCAACATTCCAAAATTTTAGTATTTTAACTAAGAAAAGATTTACAAAATTATTAACGATAACGTAAAAATGGCTAATATTTTGATACATTATGAAAGATTTGAATAATTAATAGAATTTTAATAGTTTTGGATAATATAAAAGAATTTGAATAAGATTTGGATAAAAAATAGACATTATCTTTTTTTAAACTTGACTATTGTGTATTGTTCATGACTTCATGTTCCCTCCGGAGCTCCGCTCATTCTATTTCCTCACTTAGTCTACACTCGACAGCTAGAGCCTTGATTGAAAATCAGGCCCGAACCCTATGGCCCTGTTCACTTCCATTTTCGTTTCCTGTTTTCTGTTTTCATGTCATAAATTTGGCAACCGAAACTAGAAAACTTGTTTACTTTTCATTCTGTTTTTTATTCGTTTCCAACTATGAAAACAGAAAGTGGCAACTTCCTGCTGTTTTCGGAAACGACGAAATGTTGTTTTCACCTGTTTTCAACATCTGTTTTCTAAAAAACAGGAAACAGAAATTAAAGTAAACAGAACCTATGTTTTCTTTAAGATCGACCCACATCACGATCTCCTGGTCGGAGGAGAGAAATTAGCCTCATAAGAAGCTGACTGGGCTTGGAAACCCATGGGAGAGTCCCACCTGGGTGATCATTTTGAGAAATAGGCCCATTGTGAAAGGCCCATGAATGAGAAACCCTTCTTCCTCGTCAAGTCGCATCGCCGCAGCTGCTCTCTCCCTGACTGGACTTGGATTCCTTTGTTCTATCTCCTCCCTAAACCATCGTTTCAATCTTGTGGGCTGCTTTCCAGATTTCTTGCAGTGATTTTATGTCACGGTGGGAGATCACTAAAGTCGAACATGCAATGCGACCTTCATTGGTATGAGCTGGTTGAAGGAGATTAATTGATTACAACACCAACGACTAGCAGTGCTTTTGTGGACCCTTTCGAGGGAGTGAGTCTGTGAGTGGGAACAAATGTTTCGCTTTAGATGTCGATCATGAATGAGGGATGCGACCCTCCCACTCCCACTCCCACTCCCACTCCCACTCCATTCCACTCAAGCGGCAAAAAAGAAGATGTTTCTTCCCCAGTCGTCAGTGCTAAACCAGGGCTGCTTTGCAGTTATGATCGTTCGTCGACTCCTCCTCGTCATCATCATTATTATTATTTAGTTTATTATTACTCTCTCTGGTTTGACGAAGATTAGGCTGGACTGGGAATCAATCGTCGAGAAGCTTCAATCCTCTTTCCAGAACTCAAAACCAGGAGAGGACCCAAGCAGTAAGTAAAGTAAGAGTAAGAGAGATGGTGCGGTGGGTCTGTTTCCCAAAAGTGAAAAGTATGAGCTTCCCTTTTATGTTCTTCAGAAAAAAAAAAAAAAAAAAGCAAAAACAAGAAAGAAAAAAAGTTTGGCCCTTTACATCTTCACACATAAACTACTGCTACTCTGCTGGTTCCAACCATCCGGACAAAATTTGGTTCTCTTTCTTTTTTTACTTTCCCGTTGTTTCTGTCACTTTTTTACTTGTCTTTCCCCCATCTTTGTGGGTGGGCTTCCGATACAACAGACGATCATCCCATTGGTCACGCCATCCATGGTGATGAGATATCAGACTGCTTAGCTTGCTAATCAATCATGTTTCTTCTCCCGCTGCAAAAAACTATGGATCAACTCGTGTCATCAGATGGCGAGAATCCCAGTTGAAAAGATGGGCGGACTAGTGCTGCTCTTCCCTGAGACCGACGCTACAGCTCTCCCAACTTCCCTCCTGCACTTGTTCTTCTTCTGCTTCTTCTGCTGTTGTTCGTCAATCATTATTTGACTCGATCTGCACTCGCTGCTGCAAAAGGCCGTCTCCCCTCTGTAAATTCAACACCAAAAGCCCATTAGTCATCGCTCTTCTCACTGATCCAACCAACTGGAAACAAATCCACCGAAAAAAGAATCTAGTAGTACCTGTACATGTATATATCTAGGCCCTGCAGCTGCTTGTTGCACAGGTGGCAACAATTCAGGAAGCCCCCAATTTCTTCCACCAGATTCCCTGCCGCCGGAGCTGGGACTGTCCGCCCGACCTCACGGCGAGTACTGTACTTGTCATCGTCGTCGATTCCCTTTCTCAAACGCCTGGAACCGACCGGAATCGGGCCCGATTTCGGGGTACAGCAGACTGAATTCTCGAGGGCGGCCACGATTCCCAGCCCGACCCCACCCAGGTCGAAATTCTTGAGCCCTCTCGGGGACTGGATCCTGGGGAAGTCCAGTGGACTCCGGGGGCTGGTGGTGGCAGGGGACGAATCGGACCCGACTCCGCCTCCGCTCGCCGCCGGCCGGTTCTTGCCGGGAACGAGCAGTTCCGATAACTTCCGGATCATGATGCTGTGTGGTCGGCCCTGGCTAATCTTGTTCACTACCATCGCGCGGAGACGATTTGGGAGATTAGCTCAACGGAACGGAAACCCAACACTAGCTAGCTAGTAGCTTTGCTTTGCTTTGGATCGGTGGAATTTTGGAGGGGAAGGGAAAGAGATGTGCAGAGTTTGATGTGTGTGAGAGTATAAATGGGGAATGGGGGAAAATGAATGATTGAATTGGGAATGGGGAATGGGTCTCCTACTCTCCTTTTAAAAAAGCTCTCCGCGCTGCTGCTGATGCTGCCCCTTCAATTATTATTATTATTACTATTATTTTATTATCATAGACATAGACTAGAGAGTTGGAGTGGGTGGGCTGGAGGCTGGAGCTAAAGAAAAGAAAAAAGAACAAGCAGCCATCGCCCCCTGATTTGCATTTTATCATTATTATGATTTATTTTATTGATAGTTACGAACGTTATATATATATTGAGTTGCTTTTTCCATCGAAATGTATCTAGCTACTTTCACCGCTCTTTATACTTTTTTTTTTAGGGGATTCACTGCTCTTTATACTAATTTAATTTGTCCACCACTTACGATGATGCATAATGAAATTCGCTTGATGTGAAATGTATGAGGGGTGGGGCTGTTTCGTTTGGGTGGCCGATTGTTCTTAACATGCTTTTGTTTGAGCGGGAGGATTGTTTAGATCTGAGTAGGCAGCTGAGGAACTATGTCGTGGATCATTGATTTTGATGATAAAATGCAAGTACCAATAATATAATTAAATCTAGCATTGGCAAGTTCAATATGGTCAAGAAGTAATAAGGTGTATAGATTTTATATATGTACACAACATTAGAAAGGCAGGTACTGTAGGACACGATACGTTAGGAAACCACAAAAGTACGAGCATGACATCTATGGGTCATCCCGGCACGAACATAAATACATCATGAGTCTTGTAGAGCCTAATATTTTTGGTATCTCTTTGACTAGAATAGTTAGAACCCAAAAAATACAACTATCATAGAAAATAAAAATTAAAAAAATATAACTTCACAAATAATGAATTTGAATTATTTTTGTAAGAATACTCATTTCTTTGAAAGTAATGTGTATTCCAATTTTAAATTTATTCACTTCAACTAAGTTTCTTCAAGTCCAAAAAAAAAAAAACTAAGTTTCTTCAACTATATGGCAAGATAGTAAAAGAATGGTTGATCAACTATATTGGTTAGACAACAAAGTTGAAGCGGAGTTGGTTCCTTGGATCCAGAAATTGCTGATGAAGATGATGTTGTCAGGGGAGGGGAGTAGGACGACTTGGTGCTGGTGAAGGATAAGGAGACTGGGATCTTTGTAATGACAAAGAGATGGAAGGTCTTTCTAAAATGAACTAAGGGAAAAATTGGATACGATGTACACTGAGTTGGTGTGGATGGTTGCATATGAGGGTCTTAGCGAAAAAGTTGAGTTCCTCCGACTCATTACTGATCATTGGAAGAAAGCACTGATGAATTATTTAAAGCGATTGGAAGCTGATGAAGAGGAGTCCAAACCAGAATTTGATGCTCGAGCTTTGCTATGGAATCCCGGAATATGAAGCTTGGCATTCGGAGTTCATGGAATTGATGGACAAGTACTTCAAGGACCACATATCCAGGGATGTGCTTCCGGACTTGATCGCGGAATTGATTCTCAAGTTCAGTTTGGAAGAAATCAATAACAAGTGGAAGCGTCTTCGCGGTGATATCTGTGAAGAGAAAGAAGTGATAGTGCTCATGGGCGGTTGGATTCGGGAGGTGGAAAGATTGAAGCTGAAGTATTGGGAAGGCAAAGAGGACGTGGTTCTGGCTTTCCGTCGCAAACTTCTGGAAATGAGATTGTCTGGGAAACATGATGACATTGTGGCTTGGCCAGTGTTATGTTGGTCCCGACCTTATGAATGGCAACCAATAGGATCCAGAGCCAAATACTTCGACAACTTTGCAGAATTTCTTCCACGTAGGTGTCTGTGCTGGCGGAGATGAAGAGGAGGAGTCGCACGATCAGTTTCGCCGGGGTCTAGGGTTACATCGGCGCATGGAAGAGAAGTCAGACGGCGGTTACCTAGGGTAACTGAACGGTCGGGTCTTGTGAGTCTGCTGCAATAATTAGTAACGGTATTTTTTAATTAATTACATTTAACTGCTCCAGGTAAGTAACTCAAACAAACTCCTCAGTTTCCATTTTTTTACCTAACTGCAATTTAGTCATTTTTTATTTTCTTTATCTTTTTAATTAACTGCTATTCATTTACTTCATTATTTATTAGTAATTTTTATTTGTTTTCTTTTGTTACGTACCCTCCCTTTTTTCATTTTATTTGTCAATTTCGTCTGTTTTATTTTATTTCTTTTCTTTAGCTATTCCTAAAAAAAAAAATTATTAGTTTGACATAGTTTTGGATTCGGTGTATCCGACTAAGCCTTAATGGCTTGTTTAAGTCCATTTGGTGGAGCTTAGTTGTCCTACAGTGGGGACGCTTGTGTGTTTTGTTTGTTTTTTGTAGGGGCACGCAGAAGAGCTCCCGATATCGAAGAGACTTCCTCGGACAAGTGTTTTGGCTCATGATCAGGATGGAACTATCTTGCAGGAGGCTCAGAGCTTGGCTTTTCTCTTTAGTTGGGTTTCTTACTGTCTTGTTCTCCACTGTCTCAATAGGGCTGCCCATCATGTGGCATAAAAGGCCCTCTCATCGGGAGTTCGACTATTAGTCGACTCTCGCGCTCTTTTTATTTTCTCTGTATGATTGATTTTATAACAACTGACTTTGCGAAAAAAAAAAAAAAAAACTATATTGGTTATACCAATTGATTATTTGCCCATAGTATTTTCAACAACAACCCCCTTCCGATTCTCATTTTATTTTATTGAATTGTTTATTGGGGAGATTGCTTTAAATAATAATTTTCCCCAACCATTATTAATTAGGGTATTGTTTATGCTACTAAATAAATGATGGGTTTCTTCACCGGTGATTTTCCACGAGGTCACTGTCATGCGGTGGGTCCCGCTTCTCACTAAAATACACGTAGAATGATTGTGACTTTTGCCTTGGGATGTGGCCCACCAGTGAGTAGGAAAGATTCCATGGGTGTCAAGTTCGGGGCGGACGCGTGTCTCAATCTGGGGGGATGGGGGAACCGAACTCATGGTGGGGACTGGGGTGCAAAATGATTTCAGGCTTTATTCCATACCGGTCCCCAAAGTAGAAAAGTATTTTCATCCCCCCATCTCCTTCTCATTTCTGAACACTTACGTCCTTTGGATGCGTGGGAATGAAATTAGGGATGGAACAAAACTAAAACTCATGGGTATCCTATCCGATCCAACCTGATCAACGCGGGTAAAATTCGTGTTGATGGGTTCTGGATTGAGTTCGGGTTTAAACCTGTTCATTATTCATCGAGTTGGGTTGGGTTTGGGTTTAGGTATACCTACCCATGTATACTCGCCCACACTCATATAATTAATTTTTTCTTTTTTGAGTATATTTAACTGAATCGCTAAATGTCGCCCTAAGAATTGCTAAACATCGCCCTAACTTAAATCTAAAATTACTCATATACCCTTAAACAAAAACTCAAAATGGGCTTAACCAAACAAGCCCTTAGCAAAATTCTCCTTCCTCCTCTCACCTGCTACCCTCACGGCCTCACCCGCCCTTTCAAAAAAAAAAAAAAAATATTTCTCCTTCCTCACCCGCGACCCTCCCCTCTGCAACCCAACCCGCCGCCGACCTCCCCTCCTCCCCTCTGCAACCCAACCGCCGGCGACGACCTCCCCTCCTCCCTCTGCAACCCAGCCGGCGACGACCTCCCCTCCTCCCCTCTGCCACGGACCCGTCGCCGCCGGCCTCTTCGCGTTGCCGCCCGCTCCAGCCTCGCCGGCGGCCTCTTCGCGTTGCCGCCCGCGCCAGCCTCGCCGGACCTCGTCGAGTCGCCATCGTCGCCCGCCCGCCCGCCCCAGCCTCGCCGGAGAAGAAGGTAAACGCCGGGAAAAAAAAAAAATTGGCCTGACCGCGGTCAACGCGCGGTTGGACCGGCGGTCAACCGCGGTCAACGCGCGGTTGGACCGACGGCTGACCGCGGTCAAAGCGCGATTGACCGATGGTCAAACCGCGCTTTGACCGCGGTCAGCCGTCGGTTCAATCGCAGGTGATTTGCGGTCCAGCCATGGTCCAACCGCAGGTGATTTGCGGTCCACCCATGGTACAACCGCAGGTGATTTGCGGTCCAGCCATGGTCCAACCGCAGGTCACTTGCGGTTCAACCACGGTCGAACCGCAAGTGACCCGCGGTTCCCATTTTCTGTGTTTTTTTTTTCAGTTCATGTTTTTACCTCTTCGGAGTCGCTACTCATGATTCAGACGTCCTACCGACGATATCCGCTTCAAAATGACGATGAGAGATTTTTCTCTTCTTAGATAGTGTTTTTTTAGTCCAAGTGATGTTTGTTTGAGGAAGGGAAGGTAAAGAAGCTAAGGAGGTTAAAAGTGTAACTTTGATTCTTTTTAGGGCGACCTTTAGCAATTTTAAGGGCGACCTTTAGCAACTCCCATATTTAATATTAGGGCAATGTCTATTTTTTACCCAAACCTTTTTCAGATTCTTTTATTTTAACCAAACCTATAGAAATTCTATTTATTATCCAAACGTATTATAATTTATCAAAGTCTGGGCATTCATTCTGTTACTGTTACTTATTTTGTCCACGTGAGAGGTGGGATTTTGTTTTGTTTTTTGATAATCTTTTTATTAAAAATAGTAAACGATGGTATTCTGACCGCCACGTAGGAAGTCAACTCATTATGGTCATACTTAGTCAGCATTACTAACAGAAAAGTTGACGGAGAATTAACGTTTGGATAATTTTTAGGAATTCAATAGGTTTGGTTAAAATAAAAGAATCTGAAAAAGGTTTGGGTAAAAAATAGACATTGCCCTTAATATTATAAGCAACTAATCTTCTTTATATTTGTGTAGACATGTCTAATTTTTTCTTTCTAATTATGTAGAATAAAGTTAATATTATCGAGTGGAGAGTGAAGAAACTTAATTGACAAGGAGGAAGAAGCTTTCAATTAATCATGTTGTTTATGGATAATTTGTGATTTGCTTCAATTTTCTTGAGTAATCTAGATTGGTGTTGAACAATTTGTTTGATTAATCTGTTTCCCTCTCTCTCTCTCTCTCTCTCTCTCTCTCTCTCTCTCCCTATGGAGTAGACCTTTCTCTCAATTGCGTATGAAGAACCCTAGTTCAATGTGTTAGGGATCTTGATTT